CGGAACCATACGTGGCATAGGAAAAGGATTTCCGGACGTGCGACAACCTCGACGTCATCGAAATAATTAACAGAGGTCGTTCATCCTCTCCCCAAAATCACATCCTCCTTAGACGCATCACATGGCTCTCAGTCCTGAACAATTTATCATCACTGCTCGTCACGTCCCTCGTCACCTAACTGTCTTGCTGACTCTCTCTCTCGCTTTAAATTCCAGGAGTTCTGACGCCTCTGCCCTTCTGCCAATCCATCGCCATGCCAGATCCCCTGCACGGAATCCCTCGCCCTGGTCTAGTCCCTCCGTCTCTTCACCTTCTCTCCTCCGCTGCATCCTACATGAAAATGGGCTTCTTACGCATAAGCGAATTCACAAACTCTCACGCCACCTTTAAATGCATCCCAAGACATTGCCTTCTCTGACCTGTCATATTATCCCGACTACTTCAACCTCCACCTCAAGCATTCCAAACGCAAAGGCGCTTGCAATATAGTCATAGCCCGGTCTGACACTTCTCCCTGTCCCTACAGATCCATGATGCATTACACTCGCCTCTGCTCTCGGAAAGGAGATCTCTTACTCCCGATAACCTCCCATGTCATCCAACTGGTTCAGAGCCCAACTCAAGTCCGTACCGCTGCTTTGTAACCTGTCTCCCCATCTCTACACAGCCCACTCCTTCCGGATAGGCGCGGCCACGCGCGCCGCGTCCCTGGGGCTCCCCCATTCCGCCCTCCAGCAGCTGGGCCGCTGGTCATCATCGGCCCTCTCCTCATACATCAGGCCTGACACTTCGACCATCCCGGCAGCCCAGCGGCTTTTTGGCATCTCCATAAAACACTCGCTAAACTTCCTGGTGGCGGCAGCAGCTGAGTATCCGCAAGTTATGGTCACAGTAGATAGCGGTCACAGTATATAGTGATAGCGGTCACAGTATATAGCGATAGCGGTCACAGTATATAGCGATAGCGGTCACAGTATATAGCGATAGCGGTCACAGCATAGAGTAGTCTCGACGTTCTGTCCCCTCCAAACCAGGCTGCAAAAAACTCCATCAACACACAGCCTTTTTGGGGATTGGCACGCTCCATCGCAGGAGGCCCTCCGCTCTGAAGGCCGCACCGGGGCCTAGGGCGCCAAACCTCCTCCCAATAAAATACTCAAAAGCTTCTTGTTTCTCGTCTCTCCAAATTGAAATGCAGCCAGCGGAAATTCAATTTGGTAGACGTCAGCCAAAGGTAACCCCTCCAGGCCGGTTCTCATCCCCAGCCTATCGCACTGCAAACGCCCCCTTCCAATCACCGTACCGGCCAGGCAAGCCGCTTAAAAGCGGAGAAACTCCCACTCTCGGCCTTCTCGAAGCCTGCAACCACCGCCTCCCCTCCTCCTCCTCTTCACCCTGCCTTCAATCTGCCTTCAATCTGCTTCCCGCTGCCAAATGCCGCCACCAGTGCCTAGGTCCCGGGGGATTGGCAGAGGAAACTGCCGTTTCAGAGCAGTTCAGAGCAGTTTTTCTGATTGTGTGGTTATTGTGGCAAACAACAATCACACACAGTTGGACAAAATCAAGCTCTCTTTGCAAGTCAAAAGTCCTGAAAAAATCTATTCAAAACCTTTGGTCCAAACTTTAATCCTTTCACAAAGACATGAACGGCTTCTGTCTGTCATGCCTTGGTCTGTCTATGACATTGTAATGTGTGAAGTTAGCAAACAGCTGATGTTTTTTTCTTTCAAGCAAATAGATAGATATGTAGATACTTTATTGATCCAGCAATAAAGTATCTACATATCTGTACCAGCAGAGGACTCATCCAGGTTTGTTGTACAGTCTGACAGCCGAAGGATCTCTTAAAACAGCCACCCAGGATGCCATGCATTAGAGCCCTCATCTTTCTCTCCAGCACAGCTCCCACAGAGTCCACACTTCTCCCCATCACAGAGACACACTTCCTGATCAGCCTGTCGAGCCGATAACTGTCTCTCGAGGTCAGACTGCCGCCCCAACACGCAACCCAGAAGAACACGGCACTAGCTACCTCAGACTGGTAAAAAATGTGCAACATCTGATTGCTCACATCGAAGGAACTCAGTCTTCTCAGGATGAAGAGCCTGCTCTGACCTTTCTTATAGACAGCATTGGCCTGAGCTGACCTGTCCAGTCTGTGGTCCAGGTGAACTCCTCGGTATTTGTAAGACTGAACCACTTCGAACCCCTGTCCATTTTAGTGCAGGGGTCTCCAAACTTTTTAGTAAGAGGGCCACTTTAGTTCATCAGACTTGATCCGGGGCCGACAACCTGGATTTAAAAAACTGGATTTGAGCTGGATGGACAGGATTCTGGAATTTAAAATGGGTTATGATACGTCCTTATAGATTCACAACACAGCTGCATTTTATTTGAAATGTTGTGTCACAATTATTCAACAAATGTCACTAAATAACAATGGAGTCAACGGCTGGATTCCAGAGGGTCTGAGATTTACAACAAGGTATAGCATGACTGTGTTGGTGGAGCTGAAGTTGGTTGGACGATACTGTCAAAGTGCCTCAATGGTGACTTTGTGTTAGCAGCAGAGGGCCACATAAAATGGCCGCAATTGACCCGCGGGCCTGAGTTTGGACATGCCTGATTTAGTGGGACCGGACGATGGGAAGGGATCTTGTGAAAGTCAATGATCATCTTCTTGGTCTTGGAACGCATTGAAAATGAGTCCATTTCTCTCACTCCAGTCTGAGAAGGCAGCCCCCACCTCCCTGTACTCCCCCCTTCACACATACCACAACCGTGGTATCGTCCGAGTACAGAGTTGTGTGCAATATGTCATCCCCAGAATTCAGAAAAAGAAACTTGGCGAATGATGTAAGGAGAGGGCGTGTTGCGGAAGCCAGTGAAGAAGATATCGAATTGGACTGTGTGAGATAAGAGAACATTTACTCATGCGACAGTGGGGAAATGTCTATGTTGCAACGCACATACAGGACAGTAGTAGAGAACACAAAGAAAACACACAACATTTACAACACAAGTAGCTGTAATGCACAACACAAACAGCAGCTCATGGACGAGATCTGATTATTACTATAGCGTCACAAAAAACAATAAACCAAAAGCAAAACTCGACTGAATGTAAAATACAGAAACTGAGGACGTAGACAAGAACTGGGGAACACAAAACGTTAATAACTAAATTGAACAAAGAGGTAATTAAGCAGTACTAGCTTTCTTTACTTTGTTGTCTTCAACCGTCAAAGCCCTGAACGGCACGGCGGCTGGGCGGCACGGTGGCTGAGTGGATAGCACTCTCGCCTCTCAGCAAGAAGGTCCTGGGTTCGAATCCTGGTCGGACCAGGGCCTTTCTGAGTGGAGTTTGCATGTTCTCCCCGTGTCTGCGTAGGTTTCCTCCGGGTACTCCGGTTTCCCCTACCACTAAAAATATGTACAATAGGTCTGGCATGCGCCTCCTGTTCGGCGACCCTGCTCCCATCTCTGTGGAGTGAGAGGACAAGTGCCCAAAAATAATAACAATTGTAAACCGCTTTGTGACTCTGGTCTGTGAAAGGCGGTATATAAATAAAGATTACTTACTTACTTACTTACTTACTTACTGAACAAAGATATGTTTTTTTAGATTGTGCTGAATTGTGAAACTGCTCAGATGCTACTCTGCATTCTCTGGGTCACAGTCGGTGATAATAGCTATAATCCAAAAATAATGAGCAACTAATTCAGGCTAATTGACGATTCTAATTTCCTCGTTTAAAGCAGAGTCGTGCGACAGCGTTGAAGTGGCTTGTTAAAAGGTAATGTTACAAATGAGGTTTCTATCTTCCACTGTGGGATCGGGTTCAAGGGATCATCCATCATCTTCTCATTCATTGTTCAGCTTTTGTCCACGTTATCGTTGTTTTTCCAGAATTCGTCAATGCTCCCTTGAAAGCATGATTTCTAATTTAGCCCTGGTTCAGTTTCAGTTTTGTTTTTCTCCTGATTCTCAGGGAGTAGCCCTGGTTTAATCTTGGTTTGGTCCTAGTTTGGTCCTGGTTTGATCCTGGTTTAGTCCTGGTTCAATCCTGGTTTAGTCCAAGTTTAGTGCTAGTTTCCCCTGGATTTATCCATGTGTTGTACTGGATTTCTCTTGCTTATGTACTGTGTTTGTCCTGGTTTAGTCCTGGTTTAGTCCTGGTTTAGTCCTGGTTTAATCCTGGTTTAGTCCAAGTTTAGCCCTGGTTTAACCCTGGATTTGTCTATGTGTTGTACTGAATTCCTCTTGATGTAGTCCTGGTTTAGTTCTGGTTTAATCCTGGTTTTTCCCTGGTTTAGCCCTGGTTGAGTCCTTGTTGAGTCCTGGTTTTGTCTTTACTAAGCATATAAACTTGACCCCTCCACATAAACAAATCGGACCCACATGAGCCACTGGTCAATATAATATTAATAATAATGCATCGGTTTATACAGCGCTTTTTTGGACACTTCACATCTCCAAACACGGTGGTGAAAAACTTCTACTGTAGCGAGGCAACGAGGCAACCAGTCTGTGCCATCGACCCCTCCGACCAGCACCAACCATTCTCATTCTAGGCAATGGGGGTGAAGTGCCTTGCCTAAGGACACAACGGCAGTTTGGCACTTTACAGCCGTAGCCGCCCCACTGTGGCTGGTGTTCCCAGAAGTTAAGTACCTTGCCAAGGACACAACGACAGCAGACATCAGTGGGAGTCGGTGGAGAAGGTCCTATGGTGGGCTCGAACTCACGACCTTCAGGCTCAAAGGCCAATGCTCGACCAACTGAGCTACTGTCGCCTGATATTAATAGGATAAAAACAAGCCCATCCAAACTGTCTGAATACTACTCTAAACAGTGTAAACAATAAATTCCTACAAATCTCTTTCCGTGTCTTTGCTCAGTGTTCGGTGAAATCTTCCTTCTTTTTATTTCTTTTCACAGAGTTCAAGGACAGAAGCGGGTTTTCACAGTGAGTAGAATTATAATCGTGGCACTCACAGCACTTCCAGTTTACTGCACGACTCCAGGATTGAGAAGTTCAGGGTCTGGATCTGGTTCCCTTCAAGGTCCCTGGAAACAAATATAAAAGTAGGTTACAGTTAGGGCTATTACTGTCCCATTCTTTCTGTTTTTTATACCGATTATTATTAAACTTTCTTCTAAGCGATAGTGTCTGTGTGTGGTTTTTGTAGTCGTTTAAATCCATAGTATGTAGTTGAGCTGTAAAAAGACTAATATAAGCATGCTTTTGGATATTTATTTTTATGTTGTTGTTTACTGTATTTAATTTTAACCTGTAGCCTTTGATGTCACGTGAAAATGTAAGGTGTAATATCAATAAAAAAACGGAACGCTGAAACAGCAAAACGTTACGAGTTTTGGCCTTTTCGTTTACATGAAGACTAGGAGTGTGACAATATATCGATATGGTGATATATTGTGATACTTTCTCACGCAATCGATTGTCTATGTGTTTTTGCTAAGTATCGATTAAAAAAAATATAGCATTACGTTACGCATTCTACAATTTCTGTAGAATGTTCGTATTGATTTTGTTGGATGTAAGACAGATTAAGAACGATTTTTACAAAAATGTGCAGGTTAAAAGGCATCTTTGCCTGTTCACTTTAATGTTACACATGACACTTTATCCATTTATCTTAAAATAAAGTGTATTTTTTCACTTAATTTATGTCATAATTATAAGAAAAATATTATTGTAGGTATATTTTTGACCACTATATCAATAATCGCTGCCTCGTCAAATTGTGAGATAATCGTTATCGTGAGCTTTGTATTGCACATCGTGTCGTATCGTGAGGTACCCTCAGGTTCCCACCCCTAATGAAGACAGTGTTTCAGGTAAAAACGGAGAGAACAGATACGCTGCTGCAGGGGCAGTTTCTCAGCTGTGGGAAGAAAAAGGTGTGGATTCTCTGCTGCTATGACCCCCGCCTCCTCGCACGTACATTTGGACATGAGCAGAAGCTGAGAACAAATGTAAACAACAATGGCGGCGGATGCACTAACTAGCTACGTGTGCTTTGAGCGCTACACGGAGAATTCTACGCCTTCGTCCAAACCCAACCCCACAAAACTGTAGTTTTAGCTTCCATTTTTATTAACAAATACATTACAGCTTATGGACAAACATATCATTTCTATTAGAACCCAAAAGAAAAGGGAAAAGGTATCAAAGATAAAACACATTTCTCAAACCTTGTGGTAATATTTCAAAAGTCCATTTGTTTTTCTTCAAAGAAGGAATGTCTGATAAATGAGGTACAACATGAAGGATTCTGGGACAGAGTTCTAAGCCACTAAGACCTCAGCTCAGACACAGAGACCGTTTTACCCACAGTCCTGTTTGATCCCTCACCTTCATCTTAGATTTGTCTTTTTATTCTTTAGTCTCAATATAAGTTACTAGAGCACAGACTGCAAGAGGGGTCCCCGCTAATACACAGCATGTACATCTGTGACATGTTAGTGTCATATAATCCAACTGGGAGCACAGGGACCTGCCTCTTACTGAGATTCTGAGGAGCACAGGGACGGGCCTTCTGCTAGGACTCTGAGGAGCACAGGGATGGGCCTCCTGCTGGGACTCTGAGAAGCACAGGGACTGGCCTACTGCTGGTGCATTGTCCCTCTATATACTGTCTATGATAAAGGCAAATGTCTTATAAAAACACCATATTTTCTTCTGTGTTTCTCATATACTATACTGTAACAACATTGAAGGTATCTGCGCCTCAAGAATAAGCAGAGATAATCCTGTCACATTTCTGCTTGTTTTTCAGGTTTTTTTTGTGTGCGTCACCGGCTCCGCATCATCGCTCTGATTTTGGGTTTGAGTTTCTGAGATCAAATAACGCAGCGTGTATCTCTCAGCAGATCTACCTTTAGATCACGACTATTCTAATGCATGAGTTTTATTCAGCGTTTTTGGACACTCTCATGGCATCAGTGGTGATAAACTACTAATGTAGCCACGGCTGCCCTGGGGCACACTAACAGAAGCGACCCCACCGAACACCACCAACCAGTCTCCCATCACAGTACTAATCAGGCCCTGTGCTGCTTAGCTTCACATGCAGGTGGCGCCATTTTGATTGAGTGTTAATATTTCTAACAAACCAATACAAACGTACATGTCTTTGATTTGATCTATAGTCTACAGCAGTGTCCCCAACCTTTTTGAGGTGTGGGACTTCAAAAATCACACGGTGTGGTTTGTGTGTGTGTGTGGTGTGCGTCTGTGTGTGTTTGTGTGGGTGTGTGTGCGTGTGTGTATGGTGTGTGTGTTCAGTCATTTCGTCCATAATAATATACATACACATGCATACATATAATACATAAGTTGCCGTGTGTAGTGTGTGTGGAGTGTGTGTGAGTATATCTGTGTGTGTGTGTGTGTGTGTGCGTGTGTTATGTATGTGCGAGTGTGTGTGTGTGTGTGTGTGCGTTATGCATGTGTCTTTGTGTGTGTGGTGTGTGTTTAGTCTAGTTTCATACTATAGTCCATAATAACATATTCTTACTCATACATACATGTAATACATAAGCTGCCTTGTGTAGTGTGTGTCCGGGTGTGTGTGTGTGTGTGTGTGTGTGTGAGCGAAGTGTGTTAAGTTTAGTTTACATTTAATACTATAGTCCTTAATGACAAATTCTTACAATATACACATGCAATACATAAGTGTGTGTGTAGTATGTGGTGTGTGTGTGTGTGTGAGTGTGTTGTGTGTGTGTGTGTTACTCACAGCCAGTCCAGGGAGGGCATGTGTTGACAGAAGCTGGGCAGAGGGAGCTGCTTCAGGGACGTGTGCACCATCGACCTGTACAGATCCCAAACACCACAGCTCATTTCCTCCTCAAGATCCAATTACCCTCACACCGGTCCATCCACCGCATCGCTAACTTTGGCACCAGTTTAAATGGCTCTTTTATAAATCCACATCTCACGAGACAAAATGCAAACTCAGAACTAACACTATTGGAGTTAACCCTCTATTGGCCAAGGTTGACTTATTTTGACAATATACAGCATTGTGTCCAAATTCATACCAACCCCTGCCACACAATGATTTTCACTTTTTACTATATTACCATGACCCTTGAGTGTGGTACAGTGTGAGGTCTGTTTGTGTGTTCATGTCCTGGTGATTTTTGTGTATAATAAATATACAGTATATATATAATGCGTGAAAATCTACCAATGCCACCACCATAAAGTCATAATATGCAAAATAGATGGGTACATTTAGTTCCTACATAAACTTTGGGCCATTCTTATAATTTCTGTCATTTGTTTTAGAGTAGGCAAAAACAGAGGCAAAAGCAGATCCCCATTTTGAACATTTTACAATCTGAAAAGCTACAATCTTCAAACTGTTTTTTAAGTAAGTGGGCATAGAAATAATACGTTCAAATTAATCACAAGCAACTTAGGTACATTTACAAAATATTACAAAAAGAGAAAATGATGCTTACATTACACTTATGGATGCCTGAAAAGGAGAAGATCTGGCTTTTTACAACACTACTTGGTATAGAGCAAATTCTAATGGCACTTAACTGTTTTTATCTGTTATTCAACCATTCATAGGATGCAAAACATGTAACCCCGCCCCCTTCAGTCTAAAAGTATGATGTCATTGTATCTCTATGACAACTATTAAAGGGACAGTATGTAATATGCTCTCGATGCTCTAATGAAGTAATCACAATCACACTTTTGTTGCCTGAATCTTCTGCCTGTGATATATATAGCGCCTAAATACGGATTACTGATTCAATCCACCCGCTAGGGTTTATCTTATTTTTGCATCTGCTTTTATTTAAACAAATGTGTGGTGCTACTTTTGGTTTTGCTATGTATCAAAACTGGAGCCATGACCAGCTACATTTCACCTAACAAACTGGAAACCCAAATGAGCCTCCTTCTGCTCTCTGATTGGATAATCTTGATAGTTCTGTTGTTTCATGTGTCCCAGTCCTTCTGTGTTCTGCTTTTTGTCTTCTATGAATTTTTTTATAGATTCATTTTCATTAAATCACATATCATTTTCAGTCCTGCATTTTGGCTTCCCTTTTCATTTCACATCCTGACATACAGTACCTCCCCTTTAAATATCATAGTCTCTAAAAAGCACAATGGGAGACAGGTACAGGTCTTACTCACAGGAACACGAGAGACTGAAGCCCTAAGAAGGTGTCCCGGGACAAGCTGGTGAGAGGGTTCTGGTCCAACATCCTGCAACACAACAGTCCTCTCTTTATTAGTTAATCTGTTGTGAAGTTAGTGAAGGCATTTCCCTCGCGGTGTTGTTGTGGTCTGCTCTGGCTTAAGCACTTAATAATGCTAATGTTGCTTTTTAACATTACTTTAATCCAACCTGGCAACCTTGTATCCTCTCATTATTGACCTCCGGCGTTTGTGCTCAGAACATTAGTCTCTGGAGTCTAATAAAACAAGAGTCAAATGTACCAAAGGACGTATTATGTAACAGCGTTTCTTCATTTAAAACAGACTTGGACTTTGTTTTAGCTCTATCCAAGTGAAAACCAGGTACATATGTCACAAACACAAACTTATTAAGCCATTTAAAAACTAAAAACAAAAGTAAACAACAGAAAATGTTAATAGCTTTCTTCTATTGGCTCGTTCCACATGTGTGTCAATGCTGAGGGGAGTGTACTGTATTTTTTGGACCAGTCTAATTTAGTGGCTGTGGAATTTTGAAGGCACTCGTCAAATGAATGGCGCTCGTGCAGCTGACGTATGCGCAAATGCATTTTTTCACATTTTCCAGCCCCCGCGACCATTTTTAAAAGCCCCATGGACGGCAATATTGGCGAAATAAATAGCCGTGACTATGTTTGTTAATATTTACAGTCTATGTGGTCACGCAGGGGACCAATCTCCACATGTCAATGATTGCAGACACGGGAAGAACATGCAAACTCAATTCAGAAAAGCCTTGTTCTGAACCAGGATTTAAAGCCTAGAACCTACTTGCTCAGAAGAGAGAGTGTTGACCCAACATAAATATCTCAAGATCATAGCAAAGGAAGGTTTCTCACCCATCATCTGTACTTCTTAGCAAGTACAGATGATGGGCCTATTGTATGTAGCATAGACTCTATCACCTACAACCTGGCTAAACACCTCAAAACCATTCTGGCTCCTTTGGTGGGTAACACCCACCATCACATAGAAAACACAAAAGAATTTGTAAATAAAATCAAACACCTCCAGTTTGACACAGATGAGACAATGGTCTCGTTTGATGTGACATCGCTTTTTACGTCGGTCCCTATTACAGAGGCGGTGGAGGCTGTAAGAGAAAGCCTACAGAAAGACGCCACACTAGGGGAGAGAACGAAACTAACAGCTGACCACATCTGTGAAATACTTGAAATGTGTCTTAACACCACGTATTTCCAATTTAGAGGCACCTTCTTTAGACAGATTCATGGCTGTGCGATGGGCTCCCCAGTCTCTCCTATAGTGGCCAATCTGTATATGGAGAAACTGGAGGAACAAGCCCTGGGCTCTTACCAAGGGACAGCGCCAAGCCATTGGTTTCGATATGTAGACGATACATGGGTTAAGTTAAAGAAACAGGAAGTGGAACCATTTTCAGCACACATTAACTCGGTGGACCCTTTTATAAATTTCACTCGCGAGGATGCTAAGGAGAGTGAACTCGCCTTTCTAGATTGTAAGGTCATCATACTTGAGAACGGACAATTAGAGACTGAGGTCTTCAGAAAGTCCACTCACACTGACCAGTACCTGGCCTTTGATTCAAATCATCCGCTACAACACAAACTCGGGGTCATTAGAACGCTTCAACACCGAGCCCACCAGGTCCCCACTAGCTCGGAGGGAAAGAACAGAGAAACCAAACATGTTCAGAGAGCACTTTCCAGATGTGGCTACCCCAAGTGGTCTTTTACTAAAGCCCAAAGGACGAGAAAGGCCAGAGACAGTCCTACAGACAGAAGAAAGTAGGAGGAGAGGGGTGTCCTTACCGTATGTGGCGGGAGTTTCAGAGAAACTACAAAGAATCTTTAGGCAACACAAAATCCCTGTGTATTTCAAACCTTTCAACACGTTAAGACAGAAATTAGTGCATCCCAAAGACAAAACACCCAGACACAAACAGAGCAATGTGGTGTATTCAATTAAATGTAGTGAAGAGGAGTGCACTGACCACTATATTGGAGAAACCAAACAAACTCTACAGAAACGACTTTACCAACATCGTAGAGAAAACTCTAGTGGGCCACAGTCGGCTGTTCATCTCCACCTCAAGGCCTCCAACCACACGGTGGATGACACAGAGGTTAAAATTCTGGCTAGGGAGAAGAATTGGTTTGAGAGAGGGGTGAAAGAAGCCATTTTTGTGAGGAAACAAAAACCTTCTCTTAACAGAGGAGGAGGGTTAAGATTTGTTTTGCCTCGCATCTATGACGACATCCTAAAAACAACGCCCTAACTTGGGACAAGGTCAGTGACATGCTAATGAGTTAGGAGGGGTGAGACCTGCACTCCACTTGAGCATCCCAGCAGACAATAGGTCTGTGACATGCTAAGGAGTTAGGGTCGTTAGCCTCAGCAGGGTCGTTAGACCTGCTCCCCTTCTACATCAAGCAGACCTGAGATTGTTTACGAGTTAGTATCAGGATTAGGGTGTGGCTTACCACACCCATAGGTTATAAATCTCCAACGCGCGGTCCGAGAATTCATTCCCTGAAGAAGTCCCCAGGTTGAGGACGAAACGTCGGGAAAACTTGCTAAGAAGTACAGATGATGGGTGAGAAACCTTCCTTTGCTTCGACTAATCCCTGTACGACTGAGGGCTTACACAAACTTATCTCAAGATCATGTTATGGAGCAAAAATTACCAGAATTGAAAAGCAAGTTTACAAAAAGAGAAGGATTGCATGAAGTGGTCTGGGATTTTAAAACATTTGTCCAGTGACACATGACCATGAGAGACCTGGGATGGACACTATTGTCTGGGGCACACAGGGGGACTCTTGCACATGTATTCCAAGGTGGTTTTACTACAGTTGGCCAATGAAGTGAGTCTGGATCTGTAAGAATGTTCAGTGTTGTTGTTTCCACTCACAGCCACTCCAACTGGTGCAGGTCGGAGAACACTCCAGGACTCAGCGACAAAATCAAGTTTTCACTCAGGAACCTGCAAAACAGAACGACATCAAGGAACTATACTCATCATTTTAACATCGCAAATGTACAGTTTATCATAAAAAGTACATTTGAAAGTGTTCCTGCTCCTGGTTTTATTTTGGTTAATTTAATATAGGCCTTTGGGCGTCGCTCTCATATATTTATTTGTTTAGTTTAATACAAAAATCCATGAGATAAAAAAACAATTATTCACAGAAAAAGTAAAATGAAAGCAAAAATAAATACCTCTGCATGGTTTGACACACATCACAGTTACACACACAAACACACACACACACACACATATACAGAGACACACTCACACACACACACACACACACACATACAGAGACACTCACACACACCTACACACACACACACACAGACACACGCGCACACACACAGACAGACCCACACATAGACGCATGCACACACACACACACAGACACACACACACACAGAGACAGACCCACACATAGACGCATGCACACACGCACACATACACCACTCACTCTCAGACACACACACAGACACACACATGGACACACATATACATGTACACAGACACACACACACACACACACACACACACACACACACACACACACATGTTGCAAAAGTATTTACATAAGTCTAAATAATGAGAATAAAATGGCCTTTTCTGTACGTTCGTCTTACAATCTTACTCCATCATTTGAAATTCCTCATCTCGGAAAAATGTGACCAATAATGACATAACTTCTTGATAATAATAAGAATATTACATTTGTGACCTTTCAGCACAACATTATAAAGACTGATCGAGCTGCGATACTTCGTCTTTGAAATCACTACGAATCACAAAAAACATCTTTCATAAATAATCACTTTTGCTGTATTACTGCTTTTTTCTTGAATAATGGAAAATGACGTAGAAAAAAATACGGAAATGTCCAGACCTCGTGAACCTCAGTGCTGCTTATAGCCATAAAGCAGAGACAGTGTCCAAACAAGGAAAGCGATAGTGTGGATGTAAATGTCACTGTCTCTGGTTGGATTACCATAACGTTTCAGTCTCTAACTTCATCCAAGGGCAATAAAATGCATGAGGGAGCGATATCTACTGTATATGTGTGGGATGCTCTTTAGAAAGTTTACCAGTGTGAAAAAGATTAGAAAAAGAAAGAAAATGCATCATGAGTTATCATGATACTATCCAGGAGAACCTCAAACCTGGATCTAAAAGCCTCAGTCCTGGATTCTACAGTCTCAGTCCTGGATCTACTTTTCAGACCTGGATCTACAGTCTCGGACCTGGATCTACAGTCTCAGACCTAGATCTACAGTCTCAGACCTGGATCTACAGTCTCAGACCTGGATCTACAGTCTCAGACCTGGATCTACAGTCTCAGACCTGGATCTACAGTCTCAGACCTGGATCTACAGTCTCAGTCCTGGATCTACAGTCTCAGACCTGGATCTACAGTGTCAGTCCTGGATCTACAGTCTCAGACCTGGATCTACAGTCTCAGACCTGGATCTACAGTCTCAGACCTGGATCTACAGTCTCAGTCCTGGATCTACAGTCTCAGACCTGGATCTACAGTGTCAGTCCTGGATCTACAGTCTCAGACCTGGATCTACAGTCTCAGACCTGGATCTACAGTCTCAGTCCTGGATCTACAGTCTACAAATATTTTACTTCATTCTCTCAGATTTTCTAGCATGAAGAGGTGAGTTGGAAAATCTACTGCAGGATCCATCAGGAAGAACATACTGCTGGGATTAATCTAACACCTCGAGAATGTGCAAAAAGAAAACTAATTTCACTGCACACCCCGTGGTCAAACTTTCATGATAGAAAAACAGATATTTAAATACATAAGCAGCAGTTATTGTCAGAACTTTATAAGAAAATAAAACACAATGTTAAAATGGCTTTATTGTATCCATAGAGGAATTTGTCCTCTGCATTTGACCCATCCTCCCCTGCCACTCGTACCTCTGTCAGGGGCAAGAACCTGCAGAATCTGACCTGGATAATTTTTACTGTAGACCACTGGTGTAGATACTGTAGATAGACGCTGTGTGTGTGTGTGTGCGTGCGTGTGAGTGCGTGCGTGTGTGTGTTGTGTATGTGTGTCTGTGAGTCTTTGTATGTGTGTGTGTGTGTGTGTCTATGTCTATGTGTTCATCTCTAAATATTCCCGCCTTAAAATTGCAGGTTATGGTCGCTTGAAATTATTGCATTCATTTCTATTCAGCAGTGAAAGTGAAATTCTGTGACTTAATTACAATTCAGTAAAAGTGGCCGATCATGTCACACAAACTTTACAACACAGAATTTATAACCTGTTTTTGAACTTTTTGGAGCCATTTTGAACAAGACGTCGATTAATATGGATTTCATTTGAAGCCTTGGTCACACTGGTCTGTGTCCTCAACAACATAATACTTATTTAAAATACTCACAATCGTTTCAAGCTGTATAGACCTCTGAAGGCATTTTTGGAGATGACTTGCAGACTGTTGTTTTGAAGGAACCTAAAACAAGAAAAAAAAAATCTCATTAAAAAGCAAATCATAAAGGTCATTTGGATGGATTTATACTGAGACAAGAGAGGTCTGTATTAATACTAAGAGAAGAGAGGTCTACATGTATACTGAGACAGCAATAAGATAATTTGTTTCTAGCCTGGTCTTATCCATCCATAAACTCTGGTCCATGATCATTTCCTACATGTACATTACATCTGGGTCTGATCCTAGTGGCTGCAGTTTCCTCAGTTGAATCCCCTTCGACCAATCAGAGAGCGGGGGAGGCAGGTTTTGTAGGTCGGTGTCGGTGATGTCAAGAGTTTGCGCCAAATTTTCTGGTTGTAGTTTGTAGAGAATGCGATAGTAAAATAATCTGTTCTGGTTCGGCTCCAAATATCAAGAAATTGAAAGCGGAGCAAGAGGAATGTTTAGAAAATGTCATTGCTGCAAAGATGTTGTAGCTCTGTTAGTGGCAAAGGAGATGGCCAAAGCTAGGCTAAATGCTAAATGCCTCAATCACGCATTACAAAAGTCACAATAAACTCAGATTCTAATCGTTTCAATCTGCAAAAGGTGTTAACCCCTTCCAACCTGTTATCGGAGTCAATGGAGCAAATCCAGACCTTAGCACGGAATGAAATGAGTACGATGGTGTGGTAAGACCTGGCTAAGTTGTTTCGGGACACAGCTTATCTTCAGTTGTAATTTGCCTAAAACCTATAATAGCGTCACTACTTTAGACTTTCTCTTCCGCGTCATTCACCTGGAATCAGCAGCAGCAGCGTCACATCAATACTAATATTTATCACACATAGAAGTTCAGTGAAGTCAAGAGAAGGGCACAAGGTCAGCACAGATGCAATAGCAACACAAATCATCAGATCATTACACACTGGAATGACGAGGCCACATCGCTGCATGAAAAACTGAACTGTGATAAACATTAATATTCATGGATTGCGGCTTCAGTGGAAAGTCACAAAACCAAACCCTGTGTAATGGGAGTCATTGATTTAGATTTTACAAAATGTCTGCGCTTTTACTGAAAGAGACAGTTTTTAACCAGAGAGTATTCACACGCTTGAACTAGCAACAGCATCTTTGTACAGTCCATGGATGTATTATATTAACTGGATAGGGTATTACTAGCTTGTAGCTGAATAACTTGTGTGCTCAGGGGATTCTCGCGGTACTGCAGACTGAACCAAACTAAATTCACGTGGGCTACCCAGACATTTTCCCCATAGGACTCAATGCATATTAAAACAGCTCAACCTCAGCTGACAGAGAACCTACATCTTTCATAAAGGTCGAATTTTGTGGGGATTTTAGTGTCCCTTGTCATCCTGAACTTTTTTTCTTCTTAAATCCTTCGGTTTTGTTTAAATCCACACTTTAGTGCCACAAACTCTGCTCGTCTGGCTCTCGCTCTAACTCCCGCTCTGATGAACTGCTCTGATTGGTCAGAGCGCGGCCGAGCCCCTCTGTGCACGTGCGTGAGACCCGGTGTGAGACCCACACACGCGTGTTTGACGCAACGCATTATGGGAGATCATCCACTGCGCAGAACCGGGAGGACCAGACGATGCCCAAATACGGGCGAGTTTCCCATAGATCTTTGCGAGTTTCCCATAGATCTTTGAGAGTTTCAGGCAACTTCCGCTAATCTTTCAGCCCCCATGCCGTCACAAAGCGCCACTGAGCACAACCGTTCATTTGAATAGGGCGCCATCTTGGATCGCCGGGGTCTCACATAAACTGTATACATATATATTTACCTATTATCTTATTCTTGCGCTATTTTGTTGAGCTGGTTCAACATTTAAGATAAGATAAGATATGATAAGATAAACTTCATGGAAATTTATAGACTGTGGTCTCTGCTCCTCATGGACCATCGGCTCTATGTGTTTTCTATCAATGCATTTCTTGTGTTTTAACTGTTTGATTCTCTAGTCTGTGTTGGCGAATTCAACGGTTTTGTAAAGTCCTCCGCGATACTACTGTTGTGATTTAGGAATATACAAAACGTTTTTAAAAAAATCTTCTGGTTAGATACTAAACTTTTAATTTCAAAGCATCTTAATGACAATAAAGTAAAATCTACTCCAAATATGAAGCCAATTAAGATTCTCTGATAGGCTCCATGGGAGAGAATTTGGAGGTATAAATTCCCTCTTAGCAACCTCATAGCAACCAATCAGGAGCAAGGCTGGTCATATAAGGAAATTGGCGTCAGCTAGCTTATGTTGCTTCTTCTGCACTATGGAACACGGTCAGTCCACTTCTAATATACAGTCTATTATGATTCCCATACAATTTTGAGGCAATAGTTTTTGATTGAGGGTTATTGGTTCTGTTTTAGGAAGTAATTGTTAAAGGATTTGCGGCATAACTAGTTTGGAAAGAGCGTTTTTAGACAGATGGGGTGGAGAGACATGTTTGTGCCAGAAGTCACTGATAAAAGCACGGATGCCAGGTCTGTTTTGGATGAGTTTAATAGTCCCCTTTTTATGTAACTGGTTAAATTTAGCATATTTTGTCTCCTTTACCAAAGTCTTGTATGTTTTCAAGACGCAAGGTCAAGATCAAAAGCTGTGTCGGACTTTGCTCAAACTTTTAACGATCGGCAACTTACAATCTCTCCAGCGCAGAGTACTCAGAGAAGACATAGTCCGACAGCGTCCTGATTTGATTACTTCTGAGGGACCTGAAATCAAGACGACACGATGAATAAAAAGTAAGTGCAATCATAAACTCAGGGTTGTTAAGAGAAGGGACATCCATCAGTCACATATAGGAAAAAGACATTGAACCAAAAGGCTATTAAACATATTGTGTTATTGTTCTCCAGGTGAACTTTAAGCCCATTCACTTTGTCGGATTAAAAGTAACTTCGCAAACTCTAAAGCCCTGTTTCCACCAGCTCTCCTTGGCTTGACTCTACTCTACTCGGCTCTACTCTACCTCGATTGGGAGCGTTTCCACTGGCCCTGTTCAAAAGGTCCCACGTTCTTGTTGTAGTATCTTCTTGGCTTTGGTTCTATCCAGGTCGAGTTGGTACGAACGTATTCAAACTGGCCGGATAGGGCTGGAAAGTCTCGTCCCAGAAGCACTTCCGGTTCTTTGCTCGGATACAAACAAACCGGTAGCTGTTCGAAGAGGCGGTTAAATGGAGTGGTACAAAATGCTCTGCTTTGTTTTCGGCTGTAATCATCAAAGTTTACACGACACATGCTCATTTTTTGGTTTCCCAAAGACTAACTGAAGCTGTGGGAAAAGCTATGCAGTTCTGATAAAACATTTTGTCTGATTTTACAGACGGTTAACTTGAATATGTATTCAAGCTAACTTGTAGCTAATGCTAACCTGTAAATAGTGCGCGGCTGAGCCTTTGTTTGTGGCTTGTATTGTATTTATTTGAGAGATAAAGGATGAACAATGCATATTAAATAGCATTTAACAAATGTTCAAATATAACAGAAAACAGACAATCATAATATTAGTATTAAATGAATAGGTAACCCAACTACATCATGTTATTTTTGACAGCACAGCAAAAAGGAAAAAGGCTCAATGTGAAGCTGCAGTGAGTGTGAAGAGGAGATGGAGCTAATGAACAGATAGAAAACTGATCATTCATATACATTGGCTTGTAACCAAAGCAGCAAAGATAGCTGTAAGGGACAACATACATTTATTTGCATGGGAATAGTGGTTCTATATTTTCTTTCAGATGTATAATAGTGGATTTAAAAACCATGAGTTTGAACACGGCCCTGCACCATTCTCACCTCCCCGTCATACAGAAACTTCAGGGTATGGCCAGAGTTCACAGCTAATTCCAACCACTCACTCAGTTTTTTTGTCCCAGAGACAAATCCATTAAGGAGGAAGAAGTCGGAAATCTCAGCACCATACAACTGGCATGTGTGGTTTGTTTGGATCCGCGGGTGGAAATCTCGCAAAATCCCGCACTTCCGCTTAACAGCCCTATTGGCGAGAGTGCTGCTTGAAACCATGGTTACCAGGGAATGTCCACGTATATTGGACAAACAGATAGATACGTAGATAGATCATGTATTTGTCACATACAGAGTAGAGTAAAGTAGAGTAGTGTAGAGTAGTGTAGTGTAGAGTAGAGTTGTGTAGAGTTGTGTAGAGTAGAGAAGAGTAGAGTAGGATATAGTAGAGTAGAGTAGGGAAGGGCTCTACCCTTCCCTACTCTACTCTACTATATCCTATTCTACCCTCTCTTGGGTAGAGTTGGGCTGTTTGTATAATAGCATTGAGTCACAAGGAGAATACTGGCCCATAACTGCTCTCATGTCAGTCCTGAGAAATATTAAAGTAACAAGAGGCGTATTGTTGACTCCTCACTTCCAATTCAACATAAAATAATGTAATAATTCAATTATATACGTTTGGAAGAAAGTGCGTCAATGTCAGCTCTGCCCAAAACTTTCATAGATTATAGACATTTGAAAAAAAATCAAAAGTCCCCAATTATGTGTAGGTAACGGTGTGAGGGACTGGTTCTTTAGCTAGGGACTTCAGCTGGTTCTTTACCAAGGGACTTCTTTAGCTAGGAGAAGAGGTAGCATAAGTTTGACCCCCTACAGCAATGTATCCACGTCACTCACTGCGATTGCCCTCAATATTATGCAGTTTGAAAGGTTTAGCAATAAAAATGTTTTTTCAGGAAAAGACAAAAGTCAGACAATAATAATTATAATGATAATAAAAAGGCGTCGGTTTCATACAGCGCTTTTTTGGACACTCAAAGAAAGTTCATATGTCATTATTGACTCACTCCATTGTGATAAATTAATACTGTAGCCACAGCTGCCCTGGGGCACACTGACCAAAGTGAGACAAACAGTATGTGCCATCTTCCCCTCCCACCACAAATCATTCACTCCCGCACTAGACTCATCATAGGCACTGTGGGTGAAGTGTCTTCCCTAAGGACACAATGACAGTTCGGCACTTTACAGCCGCCCCACCTGGTGTTCCCAGAGGTCTCCCATCACAGTTCTAACCAGGCCCTGCTCTGCTCAGCTTCATAGGTCTGGCAGGATCTGGGTTTCACCTGCAGGTATGGCCATATTGATAATATAGTAATAATGACTTCATTAGACCAGTAATTATTTTATCAAAGAAAAAAATCAAATCAGAAATTGACATGTGAGCAACAAAATGGGATTGTTTTCATCTCGCCCGCTGTAGATGAATAAAATAATCTATTATAGTTTAAAATATTTATAACAATCTATTATAGTTTTATATATTTATGCTCTTGGCTGTTGAGCCCAAATCCTGCTGATAAATCCCCCTAAAACCTGGACGTCTACGACACATAGATCTTATAAATATAATGTTGTTCTTAAGACACTATTTTTCTTTAAACTTCCTCCAGTTCCGACTCTGGCAAAGTTGTTGATTTATGAGATTAATGCACCTATTTATCTTTTAAACACATTTATTTCAGGTGTAATGGGCTGTGTATTATTTAACTGGACTCTTTAGTTTATAGTTTCTCCAACTTTTCTGTGGACGCAAGCTCTCGGGAACAAAGGGAGATGGATTAAAGTGTGTAAGCACAAAAGTTCCCCGAGAAACAACCTGTGAATGGAAAGTTCTGGAGTCTGAAATCAACATTTGTAATAAGCAACGACCCAGTTATTTACACGCTGAAGGATTGGACTTTTCAAATGTCAGTGTTGTGTCACAGGTTACAAAACAGTATGAATGAGGAGCACACAACACATTATATACACTAAACTAAAATAAAATCAATCTCTAGCTTTAGCATGATAGCAAAAGCGCTAGTGTGTGCTATAATCTCTGTCTGGTGCACACTGGGGTAGTCCAAATTTTCCAATGTGGTTTTACTGCAAATAGAAAATACATTCTTGAATCTTGAATAATAGAGAAGCATAAATACACAACAAAAAATGATACAATATGAGGTAATAATTGTGTATTTTACCCTAATCGGGGCACATGACATTTCTTGTATTTTTTAAAACAGGATAATTTGGCTAATTTTCCCATTGGCAAATCTTGTTTTAAGACAGTCAAAAATGTGCTGAAATTAAGACATATTTTGTCAAACTTTAGCATTTTTTGACTTATTTTTCATGACTTTTTGCAATGTACTGTATATTCTAGTGCAAAAAACATATAGTCGTATGGATTTTAATAATCAACTTTTCAACATTTTCTTCTATTCCAATCTTCTTGCATTCAAATGGATTTAATTCAATTCATTTTTGCATAGCCCCAAATTACAACAGCAGTCGTCTCGAGGGACTTTACAAAGCTGTCGATTCGCCAACAACAGATCAGAGAATCAATCAGTTCCAACACAGGAAGCATTATACCGCTGCTCTCAAAACCCTCCAACACAAAACGCCCTTGAAATCCAATTAATCTCCTTATTTAACGCAGCAGCATCTAATCACTAATCAAATGCATAATAGAACTAATTTGTCCGATGAATGCTTTTGTAATGATCCGTTTTATAGCCGGGAACTGGAGGCAGAGCTGTAGAGCAGATGGATTAAAAAACTTGATCCAGTCCAAAAGTCATTTCTTGCTTAATCACTTTTAACAAGAGTGTTTTTTTGTGTGGTTATTTTGGATTAAAAACATTTAGATAATTTGGCAGGAATTCTTAAACAAACAAAAATCGCAGAAATAGAAGACATGATGAGCAATCTCAAGATTCTCCAATGGGACAAAGCCACTTGGTTTTATTTCAAGAACTGTTGTTTTATTTTCTCTTTCCAAGGGAGACATTTCTTGCATCTTTCTAAAACAAGATAATATTGCTTTGTCCCATTGGGAATCTTGTTTTAATGCAAACAGAATGTGGTCAAATTAAGATAGATTTGGCCAAATTTGAGCAATTTGTCTTATTTTTGTCACTTTTTGCAGTGTATACAGTCTATGATCCTGAGTGGAATAATAAAAAGTGATAATCTGGACATTATACAGTATATATATGTACTCAAGTCGCTTATACTTTCATCTATTCAGGCTTTATCAACTTTTGAAACTCCATCATTCCAGTTTGGAGACAGAGCTGCCAATCTACACAGAAAATACAGAAAGATTATACGCATTTTCAAACTCCCTCTGGAGAAAGCACGCACGGACATCGATTCATTTTGAACTATTATGACAATTTTAGCATCAAACCCTCTCTCGTTATTTGACAGCTCAGCTCAGTATAATAATCTGAAGTAATCCACCTGAAAAACCTCAAGTTGTTGTTGTGCTTCGGGTCCATAACCTTCAAATCTCACTGAGCAGAACTGAAGGTGAAAAACAAATCCAATCCTTGATCCAAGAGTGTTTTATTATTGTGCATTGTATTCAAGCAAACATGAAGCAAAGTCCATGTAAAACTGGTAAAAATATTCATCCATTCCTTGCTATAATAATTCTTCGTCAGCAAAGAAGGACACGGTTGGAATCATAGCAAGAGTGAAACTTTAGCAAAGTTATTTCTCCTGTTGTGAAATGGTGACTAAGTTGGAAGCTCTTTAGTCTGGTCTTATCCATCCATAAACTCTGGTCCGTGATCATTTCCTACATGTCTGGGTCTGATCCTAGTGGCTGTAGTTTCCTCGCTTAAATCCCAACCGACAATCAGAGAGCGGGAGGCGGGTGTTGTAGGTCGGTGTCAGTGATGTCAAGAGTTTGCGCCAAAATTTCTGGTTGTAGTTTGGCGGGGAATGCGATAGTAAAGTAAACTCTTCAGTCCTTTCTGGTTCGGCTCCAAATATCAAGAAATTGAGGCTGTAGCAAGAGGAATATTTAGAAAGTTTCATTGCTGCAAAGATGTTGTGGCTCTACTCCCCACGGGCTCCGTTAGTGGCAAAGGAGATGGCTAAAGCTAGGCTAAATGCTGAATGCTTCACTCACTCGGGCTCATTACATACGTCACGGTAAACTCAGATCCAATCGTTTCAATTTGCAAAAGGAGTTAACCCCTCCCACCTGTTAACGGAGTCAATGGAACAAATCCAGACCTTAGTACAAAATTAAATGCGTACGATGGTGTGGTAAGACCAGGCTGGTAGCTCTTATATCAAGATGGTTGTGGGTTTGACTCCTGGTAAAGATGTTTTTTTTTTTTTATTGCTCCTGGGTCTACAGTCTCAGTCCTGGATCTACAGCCTCAGTCCTGGGTCTACAGCCTCAGTCCTGGGTCTACAGCCTCAGTCCTGGGTCTACAGCCTCAGTCCTGGATTGTCAGCCTCAGTCCTGGATCTACGGCCTCAGTCCTGGATCTACAGCCACAGTCCTGGATCTACAGCCTCAGTCCTGGATCTACAGTCTCAGTCCTGGGTCTACAGCCTCAGTCCTGGGTCTACAGCCTCAGTCCTGGGTCTACAGCCTCAGTCCTGGATTGTCAGCCTCAGTCCTGGATCTACGGCCTCAGTCCTGGATCTACAGCCACAGTCCTGGATCTACGGCCTCAGTCCTGGATCTACAGCCACAGTCCTGGATCTACAGCCTCAGTCCTGGATCTACAGCCTCAGTCCTGGATCTACAGCCTCAGTCCTGGATCTACAGCCTCAGTCCTGGATCTACAGCCTCAGTCCTGGATCTACAGCCTGTTTGTCTGTGGGAGCAGATCCCTCTCTCAATGTCGACCTCTGAGGTTTCTCACTTTTTCCTCACTGGCTCTTTGAGTCATTCCCGGGGGTGTTGGTGTATATAAGGACAGTGATGCTTCGGGACATTTATGGACATTTATTCTCATTAATGCACAGTGATCATCCCGCTCCCTGTGGACCAGGCATGTCAAAGTCAAATACATCAGAGGGCCAAAAAAACAAATTTGCTGCGAGCCGAGGGCCGGACTGGTTCAATGTTTATTAACTCATTGCCTGCCAGCCTATTTCGGAAGAGGTACTCCCATATTGCCAGCAGTTTCTGATGATTTTTATAGATTTTTCAAGACCCACAGAATATTGTGTACTACAGGTGTCTCCAACCTTTTCATCCCGAGAGCTACTTTCCCGGAACGATAAAGGTAGAGAGCTACTCCTTTAAGCGTCCCCTGGGAAGAATTTGGTGATAAATTGGGTTCCTTCATAATTTATCATCACATATTTGTTACCAATGACAAAAGTGCATTTACAATAACAAATAATACAGTCTGAAATATTAAGTATATCATTTGATTTGTTCGTTTTTAAATCCTTTGGCGAGCTACCTGGAAGGGGGGTCGCGAGCTACTGGTGGCTCCCGAGCTACTGGTTGGAGACCCCTGGTGTACTATGACTATCTGAAATCCGAAACCAGATTCTGAAAGAATAGACTGTCTACTTTCATTCATTCATTCATTCATTTTCAAGCCCTTTATTGTCCATTTCTGGGTCAGGGGGGTGGCAATGAGAGCTGCCACCCAATGCTCATAGCACCAGTCCCTCGCTGATCCTCTGCAGGGGGTGAGTCCACAGGAAGATGGCTGCTCTGTCAGTGGTGAAACAGCCTTGGTCTTTCAGCGGGGGCTTCAGGCAACGTGGGGTTAAGTGTCTTGCCCAAGGACACAACGACAGTAGACATCAGTGGGAGCAGTTGGAGTAGGTCCCATGGTGGGAATTGAACTCATGACCTCCAGGCTCAAAGGCCAATGCTCTACCAACTGAGCTACTGTCGCCCCCTACTGTCTACTTTCATCAGCAAAAATAATTTTGTTTCTAGCTTGTAATCCCCAGTTGAGTAGAGGGAAGTTTTACTGAAATCACCAAAAAGCTGAGAAAAAAAAGGCACAAGTGCATCTAGCTGTTTTCAAACCATTCAGAGAGCGCTGCTGCCACCTGCTGGCTCAATTCAATATGCTCTCAAGCTTATCCCCAAACATATTAGATATAATAGACATCTGGGAACATGAAAATAGCGGAAAACGCAATTGACTTTGACACATGTGCTGTGGACCAATAGCTCCTATGTGTTTGTTATTATTGTATTTCCTGTGTTCGAACGGTTTTATTCTCTAATCTATTAACTTTGTAAAGACATTGTAAAGTCCTCAGAGATGCTGTTGGGATTCAGGGCTATACATAAATACATTGAGTTGAATACAAAATAGATAATTGAATACAAAAACAACAATCCTATCTAAAAACATAGTTGTTACTCTAGTATTGCAGCCTTACAGCCAGGTGACGTTTGGGGGCAGCGTGGGGACGTCCTGCAGACCCACCATCACACAGATGACCTCCGTCCGGATGCAGTCACAGCTTTCTGGGTAATCCTCCAGCACTGGGACACACAAACACACACACACACACAGTTTAGAATCCTAACAACTCCCGGACCCACATCACATCACATGCTCCCGCCTTCACAGTGATAATATGACACATTTGGCTCATTGTTGTACATTTATTGAGCTGGAAATCTCAATAATGACCTTAACTTATGTAGCAAATGGATTTTCCTATTCGCTTCAGTCTGCGACGTGACCGCAAACTTGGTCACATAAATCAAGAACATTCACAAGTACAAAGACATTAAAAGCAGGACATGAAAATCCAAAACTGTTCCTGTCACAGACCACTGTAAGAGAAGAAGAGAGCACTGGGACAGGACAAAGTTCACCAGAGGGCTGCGGTAATGAGGCCAACGACATCAGGAAGCAGAGACGTGACATCAACCGTGACGGCGGGCCCTTCCTACTGCCGCACACATGAGACGCTGCCCCAGAGACCACAGGGAGAGGGGCGGGGCCAGTCTGAGTTAAATGTTCATGAAACCACGCCCACTCACAAAGTTCCATCAGCTGATAGTGACTTTTCTGCGGCTACGCTTTTAATCTATTATAGGAAACAAAAAATCCCTATGTCCCTATGTGTATTTTACATTTGGGAATTTCACTTCCTGAAACCTTACTCCTCCTCACAAATAAGCTTTCATTCAAACCTAAAATAATCTCACATACTAGCCTAATAAGAGTCCCGTAAATGAAACATTTTAGGCCCATTTAAAAAAAAATACAAAGCATACTTTTTTTTGTGTGACATTTATACAACAGAGCATGGGGCTCACCCAATTTCTTTCTTTTCAGACGCGATGAGATTAAAGTCTTGATATTTTCTGACTTTGATCTCAATGCGTCTGGCAAATAATAATAATTGCGTGAGCCCTGTATTGTATTGTATTGTATTTTTGTATTGTATTTTTATAGTAATGATTCTTCAACAAATGTATATATAAATGCATCAATAGTGTTGTATGTGTCGTATTGTTTAGACATATAGAATATATTGAAATTGTCCGTCTGCTGTATCTATAAGGAAAGCCAGGCCTAATCACATCCACACAGACTACACATCAAGTAAGCAATCAGTGGAATTTTCTTCATTTCTTTCGGCTTTCTTTTTAGCAATAAAACGCTAATTCAGAACAGACTAAGAAAAGAAAATTAATTGAAGCAAGCAGAATAATTGTCAGTGTCTCGTGGTGGTGGTTTGAGAGATAATGTTTCTCAGGTGTAGAAGAATAAACCTCTCAAACATGTAGATCTGAGGAAATGACAACGTTCACATCTTCCACTCACCGCATTCGTTGAGGATGTTGTAATGCTCTGGGCTGGTGTTTTGCAGAACTCGCCCGAACAGGTCGGCCCAGCCCGCGTTGTCACCTGAGAGACAAAGATAAGATATTAACGAATGTAACTGTTATAAACCTGACTTAACTTCTTCCCACTCCTTTTTGAGATGGATTTTTGTCAATAAAACAAAACATACTGTATATTTGTATATTATCATGTATCGTGTCTTTTTCTGTTCTGTTGTTGTTCTTTGTGTTGTTGTTGTTGTTCTTTGTTCTTGTTTGCCATGGCTCGAAATAAAAGTATTCATTCATTTATACCTGAGCCATTTTAAGTGTGAATAAAACTTAAAAGAAAGCAGTTGCATATGCGATGATTGTTTGTTGTTTATTGATGTGAATTGAAATGATTTCCTTGTTCATGATTTTGTAGAATAATATATATAAAAAAATAAAAGTCATATTTGAGTTTTGTGTGTGTTTTTGTTCTGAACTGAATAGGGCACTGGACCAAACAGCACCGCAACAAAGTGATGGATGAACTTTGGGCAAAGAGACGGACGCAGAACTCTCCAGTCCACGGCTCAGGTCAGTCTCCCTGTGCGTGTGTTCTGGTCTCTCTCTCTCTGGTCTCGCTCTGGTCACTCTCTCTGGTCTCTGTCTGGTCTCCCTTTCTGGTTTCTCTTCCTGGTCTCTCTCTGCTCTCTGGTCTCTCTTTCTGGTCTCTCTTTCTGCTCTCTCTCTGCTCTTTCGATCTCTCTGGTCTCTGGTCTCATTTAGGTCTCTCTCTCTGCTCTCTCTCTGGTTTCTCTCTGGTCTATCTCTGCTCTCTCTCTCTTTCTTTGGTCTATCTCTGCTCTCTCTCTGTTCTCTCTCTGGTTTCTCTCTGGTTTCTCTCTGGTCTCTCTCTGGTCTCTCTCTGGTCTCTCTCTCTGGTCTCTCTCTCTGTTCTCTCTCTCTGGTTTTTCTCTGTGCCCTCTCTGTTGTGCGTGTGTGTGTGTATGTGGTGCGCTGTTATCTCTCCTCTATATACTGTATATTTTATATCTCCCGCAGTCAAGTTATATTTTGTCTGATTCACCAGTGAATACCAGATGTGAGTTTCCCGCAGTGAGACCACAGAGTTCCTGCACCTTTTCTTCTTTAATCGCGGTGAGAGTCGAGGCTCAGGCAGATCTTGCTCCAGGCCGAGATTTCGCTCTGAACAGATGTCGCTGCAGTTCTCAGGCAATTAGCAACTATGTTCTCTCCACAAACAAAACCTGCATCTCTAGTTTAAACCACTCTGAATGTAGTCAAGTTTTATTATGTCTCTCTCTCTGGTCTCTCTCTAATCTTTCTGGTCTCTGGTCTCTCTTTAGTCTCTCTCTGGTCTCTCTCTGGTCTCTCTCTCTCTGGTCTCTCTCTAGTCTCTCTCTGGTCTCTCTCTGGTCTCTCTCTCTCTGGTCTCTCTCTGGTCTCGCTCTGGTCTCTCTCTCTAGTCTTTCTCTGGTCTCTCTCTGGTCTCTATCAAGTCTCTCTCTTGTCTCTCTTTCTGGTCTCTCTCAGGTTTCTCTTTCTGGTCCCTCTCAGGTCTATTTCTGGTCTTTCCCACTGTTGTCCTGAATTGACACAGGTCTGCAAAACGAAAACGCCTTAAGATTCTGATTAACTTTTATCGCTGCATCATTGAAAATGTGTTTGTTGGTTCTGTGAATGTGTGGTTCTGAAACATCACAGCCAAAGACCAGAGAGCTTAGCCTTTAACCTAGTTTAGACCTAGTTTAGTCCTGGTTTAGTCCTGGTTTAGTCCTGGTTTAGACCTGGTTTAGTCCTGGTTTACTCCAGGTTTACTCCAGGTTTAGTCCTGGTTTAGACCTAGTTTGGTCTTGATTTAGGCCTGGTTTAGTCCTGGTTTGATCTTGATTTAGGCCTGGTTTAGTCCTGGTTTGGTCTTGATTTAAGCCTGCTTTAGTCCTGGTTTAGTCCTGGTTTGGTCTTGATTTAGGCCTGCTTTAGTCCTGGTTTGGTCTTGATTTAGGCCTGCTTTAGTCCTGGTTTAGTCCTGGTTTGGTCTTGATTTAGGCCTGCTTTAGTCCTGGTTTGTTCTTGATTTAGGCCTGCTTTAGTCCTGGTTTAGTCCTGGTTTGGTCTTGATTTAGGCCTGCTTTAGTCCTGGTTTAGTCCTGGTTTGGTCTTGATTTAGGCCTGCTTTAGTCCTGGTTTAGTCCTGGTTTGGTCTTGATTTAGGCCTGGTGAGCTGTGAGCTGCCTGTTCTGTATGAATCCAGACTCTCAAACCGAGCGCTAACAGAAATCAATGACTCTTCTGGCCCCTGAAAAATGTTCCAGCTTCTTCCCTCTTGCAGAAGATATAGCTAGCTTATTTCCACAAGCTGTTTAATGACCTTGCACTTGTATTTAAATGGTTTTTTAGGTTGATTTCACAGCAACAATTGTCTCTTGTACTTTTCAGCTTGTTTTATTTTATATACTGTATTTCTCTGCCTCACATCGGGGACTTTCGCACAAGTATTCCAAAGTGGTTTTACTGCTAATATTAAGAGACGCCCAGACTCAAGGGGGAATCCCGAAGCGTTCCCAGACCAGCTCAGAGACTACAGTCACTCTAGCGTGTCCCGGGTCTTCCCTGGGGTCTCCTTCTTCCGCCGTCTTTAACGCAAAAGGATTTAGAAGCCCACAGATCAGCATCATCCATCCATCCATCCATCTTCTACCCTTTAATCCATTTCTGGGTCAGGGGGGTGGCAGTCAGAGATGCCACCCAAGTCTCATAGCACCAGCCCCTCACTGACCCTCTGCAGGTGGTGAGTCCACAGGAGGACGGCTGCTCTCTGAGTGTGAGCATAGCCTTGATCTTTCAGTGGGAGCTTTTGGGCAAAGTGGGGTTAAGTGTCTTGCCCAAGGACACAACGACAGCAGTCATCAGTGGGAGTCGGTGGAGAAGGTGCAGAGGTGGGAATTGAACCCACGACCTTCTGGGCTTAAGGCCAATGCTCTACCAACTGAGCTACTGTCGCCCCAGATCAGCATCAATGAAATCTAATTCAAAAACTGAACACAAACATATGCTACTATTTAGATTTGACCTTGAGAAATCCAACTCAAACTCAACAGGGAAAATAATTCAAAGAACAAGGGTTATTTCAACATCCGGTTTGGGTCCGCCAACGATGCTCTGTGGGATTTGAGTGTTATGAAAGGATTCCCACTGGTTTGAAGTTAAAAGAAATACGTGTTTTGGCCTAAAGCAAAACCAGATCACGATCAAGCATCAAAACACAGCAGCCGCCAAATCCCAGAGACACAATAGGCTAACCGGTTATTTTTTCATAATATTTTTTATTTATTTAAGGTACAGTGCAGACACAAACAGAGACAATACAGTAAACATAGATGTGGGATCGAAATGCATCATGTGAAACCAGTGCTACCCCAAATGCTATTTACATAAGTGTGTGTGTTTGTGTTGGTGTGTGTGTGTGTGTGTGTGTGTGTGTGTGTATGCGTGTGTCAGTGTCTGTGTGTGTGTTTGTGTGTTCGTTTGTGTTGGTGTGTCTGTGTGAGTGTCTACGTGTGTGTGTGTCAGTGTCTGTGTGCGTGTGTTTGTGTGTGTGTGTACGTGTTTGTGTGTGTGTGGGTGTGTTTGTGTTTGTGTGTGTGTGCGTGTGTGTGTGTGTGTGTGCATATGAAACAATAGTGCAACGTGGGTATTTTTTGTGTCGGGAACAGAGGAAAAGGAAGATGCTTGGACATGAACAGAAAACATAAAAATAGTGAAAATTCCTAAAAAAATAAAAAATGAAACTAATGAGAACGTATTCTGATGAAAAATAATAAGTTTATACATTTTGAAGAAATTGAATGACTTTGGTTTGGAGTTGAGGTGGTGCTATTGTCGTGAATTCAGGGATTGTTGATTCCGATTCAGAAGAACAACGGGTTATTTAACAGTTAAATATAAAGTGTTTTTCTGTGAGAGAGAGAAGGAGCAGCAACATCAATCTCTACGGCGGTTTTCGACAGCAAGTCCTCAGAGTTTTATCAAATATTTAAACTGAATATTTGCAACGACTACAAATCATGTCGGCTTTGAATGCACCCGACGACTGCTGCGCAAATGGGAACGTTTTGGACGATTTGACTCTAAACAAAATATGATAAATTAAACAGGCGTCAGAGGAGGGTTGGAATCATAGACTGTATACAGATGGACAATGCTAACCCGCTAGCTCTGGGATGTTAAAGTTAGGATCGTGAAACAAATCCGGCCCTGAATCTAAGTATTTAAAAGCTTCATCATTAGCTTAGTGTCATTTAGCTCAAAATAATCAGTCCATAATCTATGCTCTAACAACTCTATCATAATTAAAATGTATATATTTGCCACATTGCTAGATTAATAGAGCAGACGTGTCAAACTCAGACCCAATCCGGCCCACAAGACCCTTTTCAGTGGCCCCTGAAATGATTTCTAAAAATGCTTATGAATCTTCCATTACCATCTCTTCCTAATATTTATTTTTGGTTCAATCCACAGTAACTGAAATAATTTTGTTCAGAAAATAATATCCATAGTCAAAAAAGTGCAACCGAATAAACAATAAACTTAAACTTAGTAGAGGCTCATAGTTTGGAAATTACGTTACTTTAAAGGTATATAGGAGGATTTTCTACTTCCGGGTGGATCATCAACATTACACTAGTGGTCCTCCTAACTGTCAATCATTCCGGTGATACGTGCTTGTCAAGTAAGACCAAAGAGTTTTGTTCAAAAAGTGGAGAGGGCGGTTCTTTCCTAAACTAAACTCTAACTCCTTTTAAAGCTGCACTAACTGACTTTGGGATTTTGAAGCCGCGGACTCGCTGGCCTCGCTGGCCTCGCTCTTTCTGCTCCCCTCCCCGCACCCACGAAGCTATCGCCCCCCACACACACCCACTGTTGGGACGGAGCTAGCGTCTCCCAGTATGGATAAACACATGGATATGGATTTGTACGTGGATGGCGTGACCATAGAACGATAGAATCGGGAAGCGCGGAGGAACGGGACTTTCTTTTGGATGGCTGTCTCGCTGTGTAAGCAGTAACCGGTGACGAAGACACACGAAGCTTCAGGTTAGCTCTGCCGCTTGTTGTGCTAACTCAGCCGTCTATGCTAACAGACCTGTAGATTTCTCACAAAAGTGGGGGCCAGTGGTCCGCTGTGATTGGTCACAATCTGCGACCCGAAACACATTCTCTTCTTTGTTTCATAAAAACTCGATCTAAAATATAATGTCACGCCAGCACAAATCTGCGCTACTTTTTCTTCAAAAGGACGTATATCCCAATGCACTGCATGGACATGGATAGCATTTTCGTAATGAATACAAAAATCAAGTCAGTTAGTGCAGCTTTAAGTTAGCCAGGCAGAGGGCCAAATTAAATTACACAGAGGACCGATTTTAGCCCGTGGGCCACAGTTTGCTCATGCTACAGGCCTGCTGTGAACGGTCAACACATTATGAGGAAGAGGCCAAATGTATCTGAAGTTTTCTTGTTTCAACCAAAAGAAAAAGACGAGACATTTCTCTAATAAACAGTACTTTTCTCCACGGAATTAATGTGAGAATGTGAGATTTCAGAAACAGCGCTAAAGTCGAACTAAATAAATCCTCTGTAACTCAGGTGTGCCCCAGATTTACTCTTGAAAATCTGGTCACGTTTTAAATTCAGCAACTAGAGAGAGGAGGAAGTCACACATAAAAACACTTCAATATAAAAGACAGAATGAGAGAAGAATAGAATAACGTTTTTGTCTTTCATTTGACAGACATTTCCTTATATGGGCATTTATCAGACCTGTTGCTTAAATGGTTGCTATATCTGCATTTAAAAAGACCATATCCAAATACAGACCGCAAGATCATAGAGAGCGCTTTATAAGATTTTGTAAAGTCCAAAATGGTGATTGTGACACAAACAGTTACCGAGATAGAGGAGTTTACTTTTCAATGTAAGTCAATTCGGGCGTTCTGCTCTCCCAAAATTTCATCCACTGAGCGGCGCTGTGATCAAAAAATGACACCGTTTGTTGCCCAGTTCACTTCCCGTTGATTTCATACAATGGCGAATATGGCTCACGAAAACAACAAGCGATTGACAGTGCCTGAATTGCGTGAAAGGTTGAAGCGAAAGGGTATTTGCAGTGTGGGAAAACGAAAGGAGGAATTGTTGTTGCTAGTTCAACGAGCGGATGGTGTTTATGAAGATTTAGAAGAAGATGACAGCGAGCAGAGTGAACGAAAACGGCTGTGTGTGCGAGTGACAACAATGAGAATGAAGTTCAGCTAAGAGGGAAGAATGTGAATTGGACGGATGATTTGCGCGATATGCCACTAGTTAGAGACGGGAATGTATTTGCATACAGAAAATGGCGAAAACACTCAACCATTTAGAGAAAATGCGCCGGGCAGAGAGAACCGGAAGTTGCGAAGGCAAGTGTTACCCATAATGCAACGCAAAATTCAGTCACTCCCCCGCCCATCGGATGGAATTTTGGGAGAGCAGAACGCCCGAATTGGAGCAGAGCCAGATTAAGAATTCATGAGCACTTTCTTGTGGATTAGCATTGTCCATCTTTATACAGTGTCTGGGTCTCAAGAGGCTTTCCCTTAATAAATCAAGTCAAAACCAATGTCCATTATGTTAATACACCCCAATAAATGTGACACTGTCTTTAGACCCTCCTGCATCGGCAAGGAACAACTCAAAAAACCCAAAGGTAAAAAGTGAGAAACCTCTGGGCCCACGTTGAGAGAGGGATCCGCTCCCACAGACGTACGGGCTGTAGTTCTAAGACTATACTGCTATACTTCAGTGAAGTGAACGTGAATGGGCTGCAGTTCCCAGACTCACCACAGTGGCGCTCATCAGCTCCATTGGGACACTCCTTGAGGCCGTTGCACTGAGAGGCCTGGGGCAGACACTCGCTCATGTTTCCACAGGGGAAGTGTCCGAGCGGACAGAGGGCGCCCAGCTCCCCACGGCCAGAGACCAAGGCTGCAGCTGCAACACACAGAGAGAGGGCAGTTAAAGAAGATGAACCAGAATAATATAAAAGGGATAGGGTTAACATAGATATTCCCATCACTAATGTATTTGCTTTTGCTGCCAGTTTTTTTATTTCATCAGTGCGCATGCGTTAACAACGGTGGCAGCACATTTGAGTGGCTCCATGTTCCGAGTGGATCAATAAATTATCTATCAATTATTATTTTTTCATTTCATTAAAGGTGCAGTAAGCGATGTTGTTAGCTTAGCCGTAGCACCAACTGGAAACCACTCCCCCCTCCCCTCGCCTCTCCACCAAACTAAACATCCAGCATTTTCTTTTCTTTGTCACAACAGGGAGAGTGGACGGCAAACGTGAAATTGGCATTTTCTCTTCAGTCCTTTTAGGTTTTAGAAAATCCGATAACTCTGGTGCACGCACTCGCGAGAAACAGGAAGAGGGTGAAGGAGGTAAATACATCCCGTTGGTTCGTTGGGGATGAACGAATCCCATTGGTTTATTTTTATCGGTCCGCTCCAAATTATGTTTTATTAACTTTTGGAGACTATAGGCATCTGGTCACATGATAACTTGACTACTTTTAGGGTTCAGAGATGTTTTCCCACAATAAAAATCACTGACTGCATCTTTAATTTAGCCGTGTTTAAGTTATACAGGTGAAAATGAGAAAATCCTTCAAAAGTCCAGTCATGTGAATTTACAACTCATTACAAGTGAGGTACATCCAGACTATGTTTTTTTCTCAGAATAATTGTATTTCTAGTGTAAGTCAGAGGAAGCCACAAGTAATCAAAATGTTGAATTAAAGATATAAATGTGAAAAAAAAAAAACAGAACATCAATATATAATTGTCTTGAACAAATTTCTAGTCGTCCGAGTTTCACCTGTTTTATTGGAATTGGAGAATAGATTAAAGTTCAACTCGTTCAAACTTTGGGGCAAGGACTTCCCGGACAAACCAGGAACATTTTGTTTTGTTTGTAGACATGGTTTTTACATTAGTCATGGATTGACCTATTTTTATGTGATGTTTTTAAAGTTTATGTTATTTTTATGTACGCATTTTTGTATTTGTTATTATTATTTTCTTTTTTTACATGTACAGTGTAAAAATAAACATAATCCAAAAGCAGATATAAATTGTACCGAACTTTAGCAGATTAGAAGATTAGAAGCTTATAACCACCTGGAAACTGAGCAGGAAAAACACAATCAATCTATTTCTAACTCCCCCTGTTTACACACACACACACACACACACACACACACACACACACACACACACACCCTTTAGTCTGCACCTGGAGCAGAGAGCCGCGGTTAGAGAGGACGAAACAGATCCCGGAACAAACAGACCATACAGTCACTTATTCCAACAAACTGTTGCAGCGTACACCTGCACATGTACTTGTTGATTGTCTGTTATAATTTAGCATTTTACTTTGGACTAGAGCAGAGAAAATGGTCCGAACCAAGCGGCTACTCCACCTTGTGACCCGTCCTGCTCCACCCAGAGGCTACTCCACCTCTGCTGCTGTGATCCGTCCTGCTCCACCCAGAGGCTTCTCCACCTCTGCTGCTGTCACCCGTCCTGCTCCACCCAGAGGCTTCTCCACCTCTGCTGCTGTCACCCGTCCTGCTCCACCCCATCTATCTATTTATCTAATGATATACTGTATGTGATGAATGTGTCCAGGTTTGACATGAAGAATCTAATCTGATAAAAGAATCAGTACAAAATAAAATGTTTCAGCTTCGCACATAAGTCAACAACTTCCTGTCCTCCCCACTTCCTTTTCAGTTTGAGGAACTTTGATTGTGTTGCAAAAACTGTCTTATTTTGGGGCAATATGAATTCTACAGGATTCTAATGACAAGAGAACTGACCTGGACTCAGTCGGTCTAAACACAACATTCTTTATTAGAAATGTTTAATAGAGAATAATGTGTTTCTGATTAATTGAGCTAATTGTTGTAATGGATTATTCACTGAGCAATAGAAGCAAAACCCCAAACGCAGCAGTGTAACGTTAAGGGAAAATATACAAGGTAATAAACAGCTCTGACGTCCAAATAAAAAGGAAAGAATGCTTAGGGCTCCTCAGCGACAGCCAATGAAAAGCTCTGATGTTAATGATAATGGATAGATGTGTTACAGCAGAGATAGAATACATCCTTCTCTGTTTATGAAAACAATTGTTGCGGAAAAAAAACAATTTAAAATACAATTCTGCAATTAAATACAACTAAAACATAGAATAAAAACATGTCCATAAAAAGTCGAAGTAGAAAAAAAAGGTTGTAGCTTTTGGGAGAGGACTAAATGGAGCATGAAGAATGTATTGAGTCTTGTCCTTTCTGTGTGTTTTGTCCTTGTCCTTGTATCTGTCCCTAATGGCTCCATCAGTCCTGGTCTCAGGTCTCAGCTCTGGCTCCTGTGGCTCAGAGAAATGCAGTTAAAGCAGAAATATCAGACTGGGACATGGCTCTCACTGCTCACTCTCTCCCCTGCCATTTAGTAAGTCCACACACTCATTCTCACTGCAAAAAGGTCTGAAAATGGCACAATCTGGATTTAGCAGCAGCTGAGTGAACATTTGCATCTGTATTAATAGGTTTGTGCAGAAAAACAAGTCGTAATTCTACCAGAGAAACCTCATGAGAGTTTACTTCCGTCGCTCAAATCTAAATTCTTTGTTAACGAGATCAACATTAAAACTCTGAACAAGATGAGAACATTCAATTCCTTTTTCTACTTTTTGTTCCTAGTTTGGGCCCTTCTCACTTCCCCAAACTGGGGAATATGGCCAGACTATAAGATTGTTTTGCTCCTTCTCTCACAAACCAGTATTTATATATTTTTGACACTTTACAGCCGCAGCCGCCGCACTGTGCCACCTGGTGTTCCCATAGGACTCCCATCACTGTATTAACCAAGCCCTGCCCCACACAGCTTCAGAGGTCTGACAGGATCTGGCTCTCACATGCTTCCACATTCTATACAGACATTTCCTCTCACTGCTAGACTTTAAATTTACTATAATTTACTCAGTAGCACTTCATTCAAACACAGGGAAAAATGGGTTTTCATTTTCAATCCAAATATTTGCAGAGCTCTAGCTGTGGGTTCAGAGCGAGAGTCATTAATGTTTAAGTCCAATTTAAGTGACAAACGCATGTTTCTAAACCATCGCCCAGCTGCAGAACTCACAGAAGGCTTATTTTGGATTCTTGGCAGCAGACTGGAGACTCAGATTACTGAAGCGAAGCCAGCACCAGGAGGCTCAAATCTGAAAGCCTCGATTTCAAACATTTAAAGATGGGGTTTCTTATTTTTAACCACAACAATAGTGACTATGTCATAAAAATATATATATATACACAGTGGGGCAAAAAAGTATTTAGTCAGCCACCAATTGAGCAAGTTCTCCCACTTAAAATAATGACAGAGGTCTGTAATTTTCATCATAGGTACACTTCAACTGTGAGAGACAGAATGTGAAAATAAAACCAGGAATTCACATTGTAGGATTTTTAAAGAATTTATTTGTAAATTATGGTGAAAAATAAGTATTTGGTCAATAACAGAAATTCAACTCAATATTTTTTAATATAACCTTAGTTGGCAATAACAGAGTTCAAACAATTACTATAGGTCTTTACCAGGTTTGCACACACAGTAGCTGGTATTTTGGCCCATTCCTCCATGCATATCTTCTCGAGAACAATGATGTTTCGGGGCTGTCGCCGAGCAACTCCCTCCACAGATTTTTCAATGGGGTTGAGGTCTGGATACTGGCTAGGCCACTCCAGGACTTTCAAATGCTTCTTATGGAGCCACTCCTTCGTTGCCCGGGCGGTGTGTTTGGGATCATTGTCATGCTGGAAGACCCAGCCACGTTTCATCTTCAAAGCTCTCACTGATGGAAGGAGGTTTTGGCTCAAAATCTCACGATACATGGCCCCATTCATTCATTCCTTAACACGGATCAGTCGTCCTGTCCCCTTAGCAGAAAAACAGCCCCAAAGCATGACGTTTCCACCCCCATGCTTCACAGTAGGTGTGGTGTTCTTGGGATGCAACTCAGTATCCAAACACGACGAGTTGAGTTTATACCAAACAGTTCTACTTTGGTTTCATCTGACCACATGACATTCTCCCAATCCTCTGCTGTATCATCCATGTGCTCTCTGGCAAACTTCCGACGGGCCTGGACATGCACTGGCTTCAGCAGGGGGACACGTCTGGCACTGCAGGATTTGATTCCCTGTCGTCGTAGTGTGTTGCTGATGGTAACCTTTGTTACTTTGGTCCCAGCTCTCTGCAGGTCATTCACCAGGTCCCCCCGTGTGGTTCTGGGATTTTTGATCATCGTTCTCATGATCATTTTGATCCCACGGGATGAGATCTTGCGATTGAGGGAGATTATCAGTGGTCTTGTATGTCTTCCATTTTCTGATAATTGCTCCCACAGTTGATTTGTTCACACATTGTAGATTCACCTATTGTAGAATCACTCTTCCCAGTCTGGTGCAGGTCTACAATTCTTTTCCTGGTGTCCTTCGACAGCTCTTTGGTCTTGGCCATAGTGGAGTTTGGAGTCTGACTGTTTGAGGCTGTGGACAGGTGTCTTTTATACAGATGAGTTCAAACAGGTGCCATTAATACAGGTAACGAGTGGAGGACAGAAGAGCTTCTTAAAGAAGAAGTTACAGGTCTGTGAGAGCCAGAGATCTTCCTTGTTTCCACCATAATTTACAAAAACAAATCTTTAAAAATCCTACAATGTGAATTCCTGGATTATTTTTTTCAAATTCTGTCTCTCACAGTTGAAGTGTACCTATAATGAAAATTACATACCTCTGTCAGTATTTGAAGTGGGAGAACTTGCACAATCGGTGGCTGACTAAATACTTTTTGCCCCACTGTATATATATATATATATATATTAGGGCTGTAAAAATTAGCGCGTTGACGCACGTTAATTATAT